ATATTTATTACATATTTTTATATATGAAAATAAACACCAGACACTTTACCCCGATTATTCTATCTTTCTAGACCCTCCCTTCCTCTCTATCGGATTCAGTTCATTCAGATAGTTATTTCCATAGCAGAACACAGTCTTTTTCCATCCATCTTATAGAAAATGGGTGGGCTTTTTTTGCCATAATAAATACAAGATGCATTTAACTCTTCTTTCTACTTATTTAAAACTGAGAAATTTACAAATAAGCAAATACAAGACCAGTTATGCTCTTTGTGTACATACCCATGGCATTGGCTTCAGCCTACTTCCCTTCCCTGTGCTAGTGAGGGTTCCCATACCACTCAAGTAAGCAGATTTGCATGTGGGAGAAGGGCAGAGGGAAAGAAGTGGGAAGTGTTTACATCTTTCTCTATTCCCTTCATTGTAAACCTGGTGGGGAAGGTGCTTCAGTGGTGGCCCACTGGTAGAATAACTGCAGGAAGAAAAAGGCACTTTTACACAAATAGGAGGACAGGAGCAGAAGTTGAGGCAGAGGCACCTATAATTCAGATAACAAATCTGGATCTGAGTGATGTTTGGAAGATCAGAATGTGCTCATCACTTCTTTTGGGGCATGATTTTCTGGATTGCAATGGATAGTGGAAGGCAAGCGGAATTGCTAGAGAAAACTGATTTTGCAAGCTCAGAGGCATGCGTGAGCCTGTCCTCCCTTCCCCGTCTCTGTGAAGTCTAACGATTTTTTCTTAGTGGCTGGTACAGCAGTAAGAAAGAACAACTGACAGATTTCTATGGAGCAGTGAGGACTTTCTTTGTGTACTCTACACCACAACACAGAAGCTGCAATTTTGTTTCAATTTTCTCAGATCCAAGGAAAAAATAATGATAAAACATTGATGACAATGTAATTTCAGGAAATAATTGCTCAGACTAAAATTGTTAATGTGAATTTATCCTCAAGGAATTTTTCAAATATGTGGACTTTTAGTTTTAACATAAATTTATCACTAGATTATAAATTCATTGTATTATATTTCACATGTAATTAATAATGATGACCTTTTCAATAAACACAAAAGGATGACTTTTACAATATAGAATTGATCTTTCATTTTCAGAATGATCTTTTTTTTTAAAAAAAGGATCAAAATAAAAAGAAGTGACATTTCTTGTGAGAAGTTATCTTTATTTTTAATATTTTAAACTAAAGATCCACATGTGAGTAGCAAAGATGTCCCTATCATTTACAGCCCAAACCAGTGTTTTCTGTCTCCTTTTTTCTCAGAAGGCCTTTGAGGCCAAATTATGTTAGTTCCTTCTCGCTGAACCTCTGTTTTTCTTTCATAGTCAGAAACCACAAAATGGCAGTATCTCAGAAATAATGAAATGTAAAGTAGTCATTCTATGGGCAGTGTAGTCCATGTTTCATGGCCAGTGCTGGTGGACCCTCCAACCTTCTAGGGAAAGCTTTAGCACCAGTAGCACGAGCTGGGCACCAGCCTTTCCTCTCTACCCTTCTTGCCAAACCTTCTCTTTCTTTTCCAATTCAGATTGACCTCGGTAGTCTGAGATAAGAAAACACTGGTAATTTTTCTACTTTCTTGAAGATGCAATCTGGGCAAAAGGAGAGTCACTGTGGGAAAAAGAGACCAAGAAATCCCTGCAAATCTGAAGACTGAGTGAAATTTGAGAAGTCCCTTGTATACTTTTAGTCTCCTAGGAGGTAGGGTGCACTCCAAGATAAGAGAATTAACAATTCATGTTTGAAAGGCAATTAAATATTTTCTATTGTTAGGCACAGAATGAATCCGGATAATCTGATTTATCTTTATTTTATGGCTGTACAATTATATTCAGTGTCAAATGTTCCCCTTGTGGTGACCCAGGCTCTAGTCATCTAAAAAACCATATTTTCTGTGACTTTAACAAAACATCCAAAATCCCCCTGGCTGAAACTTTAATACTCTTTAAATATAGAACCAAATCCTGTTAGATTAACAACATCTGAATCATTTCATTGACTTCTGCTGAGTTTAACTTACTTCAGTAGGAGCAATCAAGTGAGTATATTTTTTAAAAATAGGATTTGGCCTCAGGGTTTAGCTTTTAATTTTGCTAACCTTGTGTTTTCAATTGCTATTTTCAAGTTTTGATACTGAGGGACAGATTCAGCCCAATATTAAGAAAAAGAAAATCGCTTATTGTATGTACCTTTGCAGTTTCATCTCTCAGATTAAAAGTCAGTTCTAGATTGGTGAGGAAGAGATCAGAAAATTCAGGGTACATGTCCAAAACTTCTAGTAGATCTTCTCGCTGGATTTTATGCAAATCACAGTAAGTTAAAGCTCTCACATCTGCATTTGACTTTCCTGGTTTTGCATAAAGATGTACCATCTCTCCAAAAATATCATTTTTCCCTGCAGAAAGAAAATTAGATGGCGATTATTATTTTAAACGTGAATAAGCCATTAAATTGAATGATGTATTTCTTTATGACAGTGGTGTAGAATACTTGATTTTACATGAAGTGACACAATCAGATTACCATTGCACATTTGTTGTTGTAAATCAAAAGTATTATTACTAAATATTAAAAATAAAATTATTAAAATCAATGAAATTACATAGACCTATAACTGGACTAAGTGAAAGAAAAATCTACTTTCATCACAATTTTTCTTCAATTCCATCAAAAGAGCATGACTGGAGCAGGGTCCTTTGTCTTTTCTCATAAAAACATTATTTGCTGATTTAAATCATATTCTTGTGATGACAAAGATGTAATTTCTGTTGCTCAGTAGAGTTCAGGACCTGTCTGACCTGGAAGCTCATTTTATTGGGAATTACATGAAGAAATAGACCACACTTGGAATATATTTTAGTAGAAAATGACTTAGTTTTTATATTTTTCAGAGGGAATGCAACACTTCCAAGACACACAAGTTGTTTTAAAGAAGCTCTTTAAACATAGCTGCTTCTATTTTGATAGTATTACAATTCTTTCCATCAATGTTGACACATTCATTGTACTTGTTTGCTGAAATCGTAATCTCTATTTAATTGCTCATTTTCCCCAAATCTGCACCTAACCTTCATAACTGCGGAGCAGCTGCAGCTGTGGACATGTGCAAAATGTGCTTTAAACTAAGGGTTGCAGGGCTTACCTGCAAAATGGGGTTTGGGGAGAACTGGGAAAACACTTGTGGAAAAGAATAGTTGTCATAGCAATTGAGAAATAGTAGACTGGTAAAAAAGAATATAGGGGTGATTTTGCCTCTCTGTTAAACGTTTGTGGCTTTATATTACTGCAAGTTACTGTAAGTAATTCTGGTTTCTCCATTTTCTAAAAAGAAAGCTGAAAACTGGGTGAGCAAGCAGCTAAAAGATGCAAAAAATAATTTAAGGCCTAATTTAGAGTGAGGCTCTTAAAAAGCACAATCTGTTTAGCTCATCAACAGGAAGACTAAGATGTAACCTGATTATATTGTATATATTCTTATAGAGAGAAAAAAATTACTTGGTACTAAATGCCTCTAGACTATAATAAGGAATGCATAGCAAGAACCAATGGAAAGAAATTGAGGCAAGATAATTTCATATTGGAAATAAAGCACACATTTTTAACGATAAAAAAAATTAACTATGGAAATGAACTGCCAAGAAAAGTGATCACTTATTCATCTCATTATGTCTTCAGCTCAAAACCCATTGCTTTTCTTTCACCAAACACAGTACATTAGATACAACAGATAGTTAAAGGTATGAAATGCAACAGGAGTCAGAGGTTAGACAATATAATCTAATAGTCCTTCTGGCCTTAATGTTTATGAATGCAGAGGTCCCTACTCAAGGCATATAATACCTTCTCTGTGATACAACTATTCGACACGATCACAGTATTTTTATATCTGGTCTGCAAAGCTGAAGGAGGTGGTAGATTCTATGAGGTCCACAGCCATCGTATTTTCTAAGGATATGGCACAGAATTATTGTTGTCAGGTCAGTACTGATCAGCCCTTACTCAGCAGCATCACAGTGCTGACGAGTTGAGGAAAATGGGGACAAAACTAACATTTCTCAGAATTCTTTGATTTCTGTGATGAAGTTGCAATACTTGTTAAGGGTAGAAACTTCATCCATGCTACCTCTGTTGAACTGAAATCTTTTCAACCCCAGAGGACAAAGCATTATGTGGTTCTTATGTCCATATCTGTGTGTAAGATTTTGAAAAAGAGGAATTAACTAAAAATGTTTGGCTAAGTATTGATAACCTTTGCTAGGTTTCTGTGTGGTTTCGTTGCAGAGTAATTTTCATTTGTATAATTTTCTATTCTTTTTTAGCAGATTCTTCATGATACCACAGACTCTGACTGGAGGCAGCTATCAGGCAGGCTCCTGCTTCATGGATGGTGCAACAGATGTGGGCCCATAGAGAAGCTCCTTTCAGCTGCAGTTGTGCCCAACTGTCTCTCTTTCTGTCTGGACCACCATTCCCTGGGAAAGCAGGGCTCCAACCCTCGGCCCCCGGTGTAAGGAGCTGTAGGCTGGAAGAGATAACGTGTCATTACCCTGCAGTGTGAGTGCACGGGGATCTGATGTGCATAACATCCAAACTTGACCAGCCTACATCTTTGGTCCAGGAAGAAATTAATGAGTTCGTAAACTTGTCAGTTTTTCTTGATTGTGAGTGCTTTGGAAATTTATATGTTTTGATGTAAGAGCTGAAATCTTCGATGAAGCACACTCTTCATAATCAGGGGAAGACATTCACAAAGGTAAGTAAAAACCTCACAGTGTTATACTTGCATGCTCCCCACTTTGCTTGTGCCTAAAGCTGGCCCAGCTGATGAGGTGTAACAGCATGAGATGACAAATTGTCTTGATAACACCATCTAAACCTAGGGAAGGATTGCTGTAGGCACACCTTTGTACTTCTGCTTACGTATCCACCCTGCAAAGTACTAGCAGAATAATCAGTTACAAGTGGATTAATAGCAACATACTGTTACCAGTCCACATTTTGCTTCAGCTACTTTTCTGGCTGTAAGTTCCTACAGTGGATGATAAACCGAAAGGAGAACATATGAATGATGTTACAGCTGGTGTAGGTTTCTGTACAGCAAAATCCTTATCTACTTAATTATTCTTTGCATTCTTATTACCTGATATTAAATAGGAGAAACAAATCAATAGTATTGTTCAGGCAGGGTATGCTCAGTGGGCAGAAGCAGATATTTCTGAAAACCTCTAGAAGACATTTTGAATGCCTAAAGTAGATACATGCTTTTCTCCAGATAGTATATAGGGGGTCTATGTGTCTCAGTACCTTCATACGCTGTTCAAGAAAAGAGTATCCTTGACTTTGTTTCTTGCAGCATAATCAGAAGTGGAGTAATTTGATATCTGCTTGCCTCAGCTTGCAGCTTATAATTAACCTAGGGATAAACTGACTCACTCCTGCTCTTATATTTTAGATATCCAAGCACATGGGCTCTATATTGCAGTAATGTAGACTTTGGTCCTTAAACGAATTATTTCTCTGCTTGATTTTAAATAACAATGAGTAAAACATTTAAAAATTTCCTTCCCCAGGAGCAACAGTGGATATTTCTTTTCAGTCCCCTGACTCTTTTAACATGCCTTGTAGTGATCTACTTACCAAGAATGGCTACAACAATGTCACTCTTAAGGATTTCAATGGAGCCTCTTGACACAAAGTAAAGAGCAGTGAGAACATCTCCACAGTGCACTAAAGTGTCTCCAGGAGGTGCATGTGTTGTCTTAAATTTCATAGCCAAAGCTCGAAGACAGCCTTTACTGGCCCCTCGGAAAGCTTTGCAATTCTGAAGCAAATTTTGATTGAGGTGCAGACAAATGTCGGCTTGTAAGCATTCTGGAAACCCCTTCAGGACCTGGAAAGACAAGCATAAGGATTTCATGTGAATGCTATGAAAGTTTCTTAATATAATTTTTATGTTTTCTTCCTGGACAGAAAGAAAGAAGTGACATACAAATAGAGGCGATCCTAAGAGCTGCCAGAGTATTACAATTCAACAAGTACATAGTGTAATCGTATAGATTACAATACTAATGTACATACTAATGTACATAGTGGTTACAAAATTTGTTATTAAGATTTCTTTCATTGCAAGAAATGATATCAAGGTATATGAATGAATATACTGCAGTAAAATAACAAATAAGATGGCTAAATGGAGAGTCTTGACTGACTTTCACCTATTTGAACTAATATGACTATTTCCTTTTTATCAATTATAAAAGTATTACCTTTAATATAAGAGAAGTTTTTGCTGAAATAACCATGACATTTGTAAAATGAGAACTATCTGAACAAGATCAGATATTTTTCAGAGACAGGGCATTTTAATGGGATTTTCATGTTGAATATATTCTACTTCTAAGTGTAGGACTTAGATTTTTATCAGAAAAAGCAACATGTGCCACTGAAACAATGATATGTAGATTTACATAGGCAGATGATTAGTTCAGCAAACCACAGGGCTACTTGCTATGGTCTTTGCTCATCTCTTACTCAAAACAATGGGAGTTTGCCTGAAGTAGAACCACAGGATTCCTCTTGGGTACCATGGTAACAGGTTAATCTTGTGTAGAAGAAAAAAAGTGAGCTACTTCCAATGTGGTCATTATGTGTGAGCTTTTCTAAATTGCCTAGGATCATATTACCTCTGATTCTTTCAGAATCAATAAACATTTCCGCTACTGACTCCTGTGGGAGTACTGCCCACCTTGTGACTCTGCCCACTGTGTTAAGGCATGGGCCTGACACATTATTATGCCCCACCCTTTCTTTCTGTTAAATCCCGTTATCTGCTGTCCATGGTGTTAATGGGTCACATGCTTTCCCTGGGACCGGCCACATCTGTTGCATATTTGTAAGGACAAAACATGAACTGATGTCACCATTCTTATGAATATGTGAGCAGGATGTGTCTTTTTGTTATTAGAGCAGTCTATTAATTCATTCCTGTTCCTATTAATTCTATCCTTTGCACTGTTTTTCTACAAACATGCAAATATTCCCGCACAGAAAAAAAAATATACAAAATACATTCACTTGTTGCTGTATTAATTCTTACTTCAGCACAATAAAGGTCTGTGCACTCACTCTTATTGCATAAAGATATTCACAACTCATATCCCTTGCTAACGAAGATGAGCACATTTCTGATATGAGCCTTCTGTCCACACAATCCAAGCTATGATTTACAAATGAAATATTAGTACCTTTAACTGAGTTGAAATGTTTCTATGATTGCTAATGGAAATCAATGCTGTGAAATAACAAATAGAATGTTTTAACACACATATATACAAAAATTTTATGAGCTATAGGGCATCACCACATGAAATTTATACATCCTCAGAAAAAGCCAGCATTCAACAACAATAAGCAAAAGAAAACATGATAAATGAAAAGCTTCTGTGATGCCACACTGTTTTCTAGATGCCACACACTAGAAATAGCTTAGTATGCAATCATTCTTTTTATTTTAATGTAATTATACTGAAATAAAAATATTATGGGTTGCAGCAAGTTATTTACTGAATGATACTGAGAAACTGATAACCAAATACTTCTGGTCAATGATTCAGGTGGAGAAAAATTGCAGGTGTTTATTTTGAAGTTGTTTTCTAGTCATGTGAGTAAAAAAGACCTATTTTGAATTAATTCTTTTGCTATACGTCTGTCTGAATATAATTTAGAAGAGCTCAATTTTTTATAAGATGCAAAATAGGAAATACATTTGCAATTCAGAGGTACTTCCAGGAGAAAGTATTTGATTTGTTAGAAAGTCAGGAGCACAGCCTTAGGATAAATCGTATTCATTTTTCACATCAGCTTCTGTTTATCTCATTTATCAAGGGATTGTACTTTACCATTAAGCAAAAACCATGCAGCCCATGTGTGTTTATATTTCTGAAGATACTTTGGGTATTTCTTTAAAGGAACAATTATTTTGATAATTAATTTATACTTAACATGAAACTGTTCTAAAACCATTGCATATTAGTTAATACTTACTTATATGCCAATAACATCTGAAAGATACTAGCCTCTGTTCAAGTATCTGTGATTAAAAAGTCCCTGCCCCATGGAGCTTACACTCTAAAATAGTTGTTATACATCAGAGAGGAAGAACATTTACTCTTTAATACCACAATTGTCAAATGTCCAGAAGGAAGACAGGTGCCCCAATAACATTTATTTCCGATGGAGTTCTGGAGATTACTCCACTAACACAAGTTTAGAAATGCAAGAAAGCAGCTGATTGGAAGATAAATTTGTTAAAATGTTGCTACATAATACATTACTAAAAGGAGCTTACCATATCACGCACACTGTACGTAGTGAGGTATTTAATCCAAGTCCAGTAGCTGACACTGTACAGAATTTGATGTTTCCAAACTAAGTATTATGTTGTGCAGTACAGACATCTTGCCAACTCAAGCCTCCATGTACATTCCTAATACTCAGATTTTCATTACTTTGAGAAAATATTTCTTATTCATCAATTTTTAGCTTGTGCTAATAAGGAGGTATCTGATTGTCACAGATATCTTTATTGTCTGTGTAGAGCATGACCAATTGTATTGAAACTTCTGTTCTTACAATGTGGTGAGCAACATCAATAGATTACGTGTACATATACTGACTACTTTAAATATTAGAAAATCATCCATGCAATCTTCAAAATCATGAGATTAGCTTAAAAATAACAAAACTCTATATATTGCATTTCACTTCTTTTGATTTGTTGTGAGCTTTTGGAGTCTTGAAAAACATTTAAGTCACACTCCAATGTGACAAGAAAAATTTAAAATACACTTTTCTAAACAACTAAAAGCCAGCATAATCTTCAAATCACATGAATGCAGGAGTAGGTAATGCAAAAATAAAATCAGAATTGCACTTTAAATAGCGTTATTCTCAATGACAAATCCAAAATTAATAAATATTTTGAATACAGGTTTGGGTTTCAATTTCTCCATTATTTCCTGACATGTTTCTATTGTTACATTCAATACCTCCTCAGTAGTGATTCCACTGCACCCTGGTGAGAAAAATCTTGGATTCTCATGGTTAGAATCATGTTTAGAACCAGAACTCATCCATAATTCAAGAGACACAGATCTTCTAAAAAAGACATGTAACAAGATCTAAAATCAGCCCCAACTCTCTCCCCTTCAAAAAAAAAAAAAAAAAAAAAAGGAAAATCAGTCATGATGCTGTGACCATAGCCTCCAGTTGTGTCTCATTGATAGTTATCAAGTTCAGTCATCTCTTCCTGGAATAAAACTTATTCCACATCAAATATTGTAGGTTTATCTACTTGGCAGGCTTAGAGAGGAGGAAAGTGTCATTTAGAGAGAAGTAAAACATTTAGTGTGGGATAAGCGATTGAAGTTTAGTAAGGATAGTAGGGACATGATTCATATTGCCTTGAAGAATATGGTCTTTTATAAGTAGAGCGGGAGTCCAGCTTCATTAACTTCTCTTTTTCAAGATGACACCAAGATGCAAAAACTAACTCAGCAAAGAGACTGAGCAGCTGAAGGTACAAAGAGGCAGGAACAAATATACTTTGTGTAGTAGACTTAATCTGTATTTGGATCTCATCTGTGTAATACAGATCTCGGGATATGGTGACATTGGCATCACTAAATGCTGAATAAAATTCTTGAACAATTTGAATAATAAATTTTGAACTAATTACAGGGACCAAACCCCATAACTTGGAAAGTTCACTCTAGTGGGGATTTATATTAAAAAATTAACATTTTGTCTGTCTTAGTTTGTTCTGTCAGAATGAGTGAAATTAATTCATAGTCCTTCATATATTTGGTGAAATAACCTGTGTCTTTAATTTTTATCTTCCTGCCACCTAATTTTAGCACTAACCTGAGACTCATTAGTTGCACAAGTCGCACTGCATAGATTTTGAATTAGGATCTCTGTTCCCTCTGATGGAAAGAGTAGTGCAGGATTTAGTCCTATCACAAACATTTGACTCTCAGATTTTAATAACATTTTCATCTAGGTGAAATGTTTCTGTAATTCAACCTAGTTCTATTTCTAGAAAGAATTTAGGATTTACTATTTCTGTGATAGATAATTACAGAAATTAACTATTTCTATAAGCAGAAGGGCAAAACATTTCCAAGGGCTTTCACCATTTAGAAAAGAATTAACAAGGTCACAGCTGATGATAATTCTGCTCCAGCAGCTCTTAGGCTCCACATGGAATCAGGATTATTTCTCATGATTCCTCTTCTTCATACAGGAAAATGTAGCAGAGTCAGATCTTTTTTCTTTTTTCCTTTTCTTTTCTTTTTTCTTTTTTTTTTTCCCCAGGATATGAAGGAGGTCCTTACAACAGTTGCGAAAGAAAAGCAGCAGCGTGTGATGATGAGCTAATTTGCCTTTCATTGGGACTTGAAGTCTTACAACCTTATCAAGAAATAGTATCGTTTGCTTTCAGTCATTGCCATGACATAGATTTGTACGACATTTTTGTGTTGAAATTACTGCAGCTGCAGCGGATCATTCTTCATCTACAATCTTATTACAGTTTCTGATTACATCTGAAAGGTGATCTCTGAGATATGATACATTACTGGGTGAGGAGGACAGAAAATTATTTCAGTTTCTTAGACGATTGACTCCCTCATCAACAGAAAAGTTTGATGTCTGTAGAAGCTGGAAGCTGACCAGATCCATGTCTTTCCAAAAATATAATGATAGTTGGAAAATTGTTACTTGCTCTTGCTTTTGAGACGTTAAACCACAAAATACAATGCAGTGTGAAACTGATAAAGGATCACTTTGCAAATAGATTGACATTCTTGTAAGTCTCTTTTTTTTTTCTGTGAGATCTTCTTTTCTGTAACTCAGTTAAATGTAGGCATTCATGTTTTTTTAAGTAGTCTTGTTATGGAAAATGAAAGAACAGCTTTACAGCCAATCATATCTGAGGTACTTTCTGATGGCTTGTGTGTCTTATGATTTCCATTATGACACATAGACAAATAGGAGTATATATTCCCTTTGTTTAAACAATTACTACTATTTTTTGTTCCAAACACTTCTAATTTGGATTACCCTTCTGATGGTATAAGGAACTTCTCCTTGCTATTTTTGAAATTTTAATTTACTTTTCTAATTCTCTGGTACAAAGACACTACTGGCATTAGTTCTATTGGTAGAATTGTTTTCATCATAAAAAGTGATCACAGCAGGAGGAAAAGCAAGAATAACAAATGTAGTGGTGTCATCCCATGACCAGTGGCTAATTTCTCACAAAAGAAACCTTACCAAAGCAATGCTGCATCTATCCTTTATTTGATACAGCATTGCTGGGTCTGAACTTTGAAGATAGGCGTGTGCTCTCCTGTATTTGCATGATCATTGCGACCAAGACAACTTATCACAAGAGTAAAATTGACCATTTGCTTGGATGATTGCAGGAGAAGGTTCCATAAATTTATGCATAAAAATTCTGACTTTCTGTGTTCTTTCATGGTACTGGGTAAAACCCAAAATACAACGGCATCTGTCCCACATCCAAAATTTTAATTAATGTGTACATTTGGCTAAACACTTTCCAAAGCTTGTCCCTCTTATTTACTTTGAACTCTTTTTTAAAGGTAAAATAAACCAATAAAGCTATTCAGATGCACAGAAGATCCATGGAAAGTGGGGGGAGGGGAGGATTGTAAAAAATACATGCATAACTTAAAAAAGGATCTCAAACACTAAATATGTCATCTTTTAGGGTAAGCATCACAGGCATGCTATTATCAGTGCTGGACTGATAACATTGCAATAAAGGGAGGAAAAGAAGGCAAAGAGATTTTAGGAAAAACAGAACAGGATAGTTTAAAAAATAAAATTGTATCTTCAAATCTTTGGGACTGGTAACATCTTTCATGAAACAATATACACTGCAAATAATAATTTTTTTGTAATTTAACTTTGCCAGTGTATACCACAGGGATATGATTTAAATTATGCTTATTCTATAGACTCAAGATTTTATCCAGATTAAAATAAATCCCAAATCCTGTTTATCCAGTCCATGCATAATTATGTGGAACTTTTTTTTATCAAAATACATTATGCAATGAAACATAATCAAAGAGATATAGAAATGAAGCAGAGGGGAGCAAATGATCAAATAAACAATATTCTCAGCATATTTCACCTGCAGATCTTTAAAGTTAATTTTGTGTTTAGCCATTTCAAATGAGCATAAAGTATTATCTTCTAGTTTTCAATATAAAGTGTAGGATTTTATTTAGGAAATCAAGTTTATTTAGTCTTAGTGCAGTATTATTCCTGAGGTTAAAAGTTGTTTTGTTTTGTTTTTCACTTTTCCTGAAGTCTTAAATATATTACTGATGAGAATTAAAAGCATCTTTTGAAACATACTCTCTAATATTATTTATATATATATATGGGTATGTGTGTGTGTATAAATTGCATGTACATATATATATATAAAATGTAAATTATTCATGCATTTCATATTTCAAAGGAGAAAGAGGACTGAGTTTTTAAATTTCATTCAGCTTTCAGTCATAAAATGAAAAAGAAAAACATTGGATCAAATTCTGCCTTCAGATCTTTGCAAAAAATTGCCAGTAAATATTGATCGGAGTCAAACACTTTTGTCTGAGGACAGTATTAGCCCTTTGGTGTGTAAATGCAAATATTTCATGCAAAATTAAGTTAATACCACATGCAAGTCCATCTCATATGCACATGGCTTATAGCCAAGAAAACTTCATTGGTGCTTGTGCTAACATGCATATATGGTTTGAACTAAGAGCATTCACGCAAAGGAAAATGCAGAATGATCAGCATGGCAACTTTGTCAGAGTGACATTCCTACAGAGCAACTATCTAATGCAAACCAATATGCACATGACCTTTTTTGGGCAGAGAAGCATAATTTGAGTTGTGGGGTAAAACAGTGATTAATAAATGTGGTTCAATTAGCATTTCTTAATGTCTAAATTTTAGTAACCATTTTGCCCCACATCTGATTCTACTTGGATTATTTCCCTTTGCTATCTACCCCTTCATCATGCAAAAAGTTACAATTAAAATTAGAAAGCATTGAACAAGCTCTAAACCCGACAGATAACATGGATATTCTCCACACTTTATACTGGAATTAAATTTGATATAAATACCTCCTGCTCTTACCAGTGGGTGGTGTTATTCCATGTATTTAGGTATGAAGCAGACAGGAAAGAGATAAATCTTTCATAAGTACAACATAAATCACACAATTCTTATAATATCCTTGCACTAAGTGTAATATATTCAAACTCACTTTTTAAGAAAATTAAGTGATTGCCATAAAACTTGAGGGATAGAATTGTGAACAGAGTAAGAAATAAAATATAACAAAACAAGATACTAAACTTGATTTTTTTCACATTTTATTTAAAACAAAGCCTCCATACTGCCTCACAATCATATTGCAGAATATGGGCTGTTTAATCCATTTAGTCAGTATTTCACATTAATGACAAATCCAAGACTAATTCCAGTACACCAATTCCTGCATTATGCAAAGTTTAACCTGACAATATCCAGGTTTAGTTACTATTTGATGTGAAACAGGTGTTCTTAGTACATCCATTAGTGTTAATGAATTAGTTAAGGCGTACATGATTTTGTAATATCTTCAGAAATAATTCAATGAGCTACTTTAGGCTTAGGCTGCATCCACCTGCAGCCTAAGGGCCTGATCGTGCAAAGTGCTGAGTACCCCACAGTCCCATTGCCATCAGAGGGAATTAGGGCCATTCAGTGCCATGCAGGATGAAGCTACTGATGCTGCCTTCCCCTGCAGTAATTCCTGGCAGAGGTTTATACAAGCATCCTTGTCCTACACTGGGCATAATATCCCTCTGGAGGGGACACTCATGGAAGTGGGAGGTGAAGCCCGATATATTTAATTTGCTGTCTTACTTTTAAGATCTGCTTTACTTAATGGTAACCATAAAGTCAAGCTGTCAGTGATTCAGCTTTATAAAAGCTTTTAATCAAGACCATTGTTTTTGCTTACTGCATAAAAGTGTACCACTCTGACAGTCATTCACAAACATGTGTATAGATGTATGCATAGATACCGCATGGAAGCTGTTTGAATTTGTGTCAAAATTCTGGAGGTTGATTTCTAGTTAAATTGTTACAAAAATGTATAGATTTTCTTGTTCTTGCCAACTTTATGGAGAGCTCTGCAGTCTCTAATCTGTAACTCAGAATAGCTCTGGAAAGCATCCCTCTAGAGACACAGATTCACAGATCCTTAAGATGCACAATGCTCTCAGAGTCTTCAAACCTATGTCAACTTTTCAGAAAAAATGCTGCTATCTCCAGACTATAAGCCAGAAATATAGATGCTTGCTTTTGCTCATTAGCAGATTGTTATTCCTTTTTAGCTGGCCACACAATATATTTTTATATAAGGCGCGTTTACGGTTTTTTTATCAAGAACAGAAAATATGAGTGTTGTACCTTGCCACTTCCTAGAAATGAGAGTCTGTGGATTGCTAAATGCTTAGAAGTACTGTGTTGCCTTTCAGTGCAGAATTATGTGGTTGTGGATGCAAGTGAACTACTGTTCAGACTATCACATGATTAGAATATTTTACTCTGGAAAGAGCAGCTAATTCACCTGCCTGCTCCTCTCTTTCACCCACCCCTCTCTTTCACCCACCCCCAATATACCAGTTCTAGATTACACGATAGGATTTTGAAAAAGAATTGAAGTCCACAGGTTTTATAGAAGAGGAACTCTGCAGATATCAACAAAGGTACTCTTGTTTGATATTGGAAGTGGAAAATCAGACCAAAGAACAAACCAAATTCTGGAACAGCTATGTCTGAAATAAGAAACCTATGATTTTTTTTTTTCTTGTCTTAAGCTTGTAATAGTCAACTGCAGTTCTCCAGCTTTCCTATGCACAGAGAGAGTTCAGATTTCTGATACATCTTGTAATGATCTAGGCAGTTAAATGTTTGGATGCAAAATTTGTAATGGCTTGGTTTTCAATAATTGCTATATATCCACCTTCTTAAACTTGCACTTTTACAGCTCATAAATAATGAAGGCTTATAATCTCTTTCTAAATTCTCATGCATTTATCTATTCCTCAGCATCCGTGCCTGAAAAACAGAACAACATACCATGTTCATGTCAATGCCATTGGTGTATGTCCACGCATGCTGGAAGTATTCCTCAAGTCGCTGCCGCAGAGGGTTGGGGATTTGATGAAAGCGTATAAATTCCTTTACGCGCAGCATCTGCATGTGATACCGTGCAGTTCCCGAGTAGAGTCTTTGGATTATTGCAGATACATTTCCAAAAATGCTAGCGTACATTAATGCTGGATTAAATAGAAATGAAACTTACTTAAATCATATCATTGGGTTTTGCAGATGATGCAACATTTCTTATAATGTACTTTGTATGTAAAGCAGCTCAGATGAGATTAGGGACATTTTCAGAGATATGGAATTGATTTACCTGAAGCTTTTTATTGATTTGATTGTATCAGTACCAACGGTTAGCCGATGAGTAATCAAGCTGGTAATATTTATCTTTGGACATCTGTAGTTCTGAATTTAGTGTTATAACTTAGGTTCATCTAATTTTACGGACTTTGGTAGAACTAAGAACTAGGAACTAAGGTTAAGTACAAGTTAAGTTAAGAACAAAGGGTAGAGTTAAGAAGGTACACATACATTTATAGGTTCAGGTTTTAGATCAACAAATAAAATATAATTATGATTATCCAAAAATGATGGGCTACAATTTCCTAAATCCACTCAAAACTCTGCTTCCTACCCTATACAGGATTTTCTTACTGATACACAACACAAAACTTCTGACAGTTTGGCTAACAGATTTTGAGTAGTCAAACAACTTGACTACTTCCTGACACTGCATGAGTCACAACATATTTTTGCATATAACATAGCTTTCCCTGGGAATATGCCCTTCTGGCTGCATGCTTATAATCTTATTAGCTTAGACGGTTAAGTCATTTGCTCAAACACTGAGAAAAAAAAATTAGTAAGGTAAAACTACTTACAGCCAATCAACATGACACAGATGGAAAAGATTTTCTCTGAGTTGGTATTTGGAGACACATTTCCAAATCCTACACTTGTCAGACTGCTGAAGGTAAAATAAAGTGCTGTAACATATTTGTCCTTGATGGATGGTCCAGAGCTTGCATCACTCTTATTGTAATGCTTGCCTAATTGTTCTCCTAAAGAATCCAACCAGCCAATCTTGTGAGCCAAGTAAGGTCTTTCTACATTTCCAATGGCATACCAAATGCAAGCAAGCCAGTGTGCAATTAGCGCAAATATGCACATAAGGAGCATCAGAACTGCAGCACCATATTCTGAATATCTGTCCAGTTTCCGTGCTACCCTCACCAAACGCAGCAGTCTAGCTGTCTTCAGAAGACCTATTAATGTTGTTGTCTGTAAAAATAAGATATAAATAGAAATTTATTTTCTCTGATAGCAAATTTACTCTCATGAATAGCCAGCATGAATAAACCAGTGCAAATTCCATGATTTTGGGGAATCAACAAACCCCATAGATTAACCCATTTCAATGTAATCTTAATTTAATTTCCTTTAACCTATCAATTTTATTATAAAAACAGTGAAGAAACAATAAGAAATGCACACTTTAAATTAAGATACACTAAAGTTGTCATTATATGCTGAATACTCTTTCATTTTGAATATTATTCTTGATCGGGACTCTTCAATCCACCCTAATGGATTTTAATGATCCATTAGATTCATGTTTTGGCATGATAAAGTCTGTAAGTTATTGGAACTAGTCATAATTATTGACTGGCCTTGTAGGCAATAAGTATTTATGATGTTTGAACAAAGCTGTGTGACTATATTCAGTCCTAACTTAGAGACTACAACGCTCTGGCACACATGTTCTAGAAGAGAGAAGAAACAGGGCAGAAATGTCCCAAAGAGTAAGTATCTTATTCCACATATATTCTTCCTTTTTATAATGGTCAAAACACTCTATACAGGTAAAAGACAATGAACCACTGTGAATAGAAAATCATGGAAAAGTTACTGTTACCAGACTCCAGATTAATCTTCTTTTTGCATCTTTTGTCCTGAAGCTTGCAGGTGTAGTGGTAGAAGCCACTAATGAAAGTACTATACCATTAAGAAAACCATATGGGTCAGTTATAAACCAGGAATGTATTCCAAGCTTTTTAGTGCAGACCTGCACAACAATTCTTTGCAGCCTCTTTGAGGCGTCAATCTTTTTAAAGGAATCTAAAGTTTATTAATGTAAATTTACAATTTTCAATCAGTAAATTATTTTCATACTTGTTAATTCCTTGTAAAAGAGATTGACAAAATTGTAAATAGTAACTACTTGATTTCAAAAAGAACTCAACTTTTTCCCTCCATTAAATTTGAACATTTAAGTAAATGTCAAGACTGAATAAGTTTTTAAGAAGTTTTTTCGTCTTTTTTTTTTTCACATTCATGTATATTACATAACACTTAACTGGAAAAATTTTCTGAGCCTTACAAACCACTCTGATGGTAGTATGTGTCATGTTAAAGCTTTCTTTCAATAAATACTGGACTAGTTTTTATGTTTTGTTAAATCATTGCATTTAACATGTTTCTGAGTAAAATCCCAAAGCTCTTGGAACAAAAAGAGAGGCTTTCTTGGCTGCATTTGTCAGTGGAGAGCTCAATATATTGTTCATATTTTCTGAGTAAATGAGCAAGAGGATAATGTAGGGTAACACTGGTTAACACTCCTTGGCTCAACTTAACATCACAGAGAATAATTTCAGGGTGAATTTCTCATTGTCACATAAAGAAGGCTGTTTCATTGATTGTGACCTTAGCAGTCTGAGAGACCATATCCTTCACAAAGCTATGCCTAGGTGGAGCTTCAGCATGTGAATATTGCCATTGGGTATATTTTTTTTTTTTTTTTGTAAAGTAGATCAGGCTTAAATAGTTATGATCCCTTAAGAAAAAGAGCAATCTTAAGCTAGCATTTGTTTTTAGTGGGGTGTTGGAACCATTCTATTACAGATGTAGTCGTTATCTCTACATCATGCAAGAGGCAACATATTCTTATAGTGCCCTTTAAATAGATCAGAAGGTAGACTGTGAAGCCAAAATATGTCAACAGTGTTTCACCCCATTCTTAAGTTAGGACTTGCTAATATTACGCATCCTCAGTGTCAATCCCATGCTTAGATACTGCAACAGTGTGAGCTCTGGAGTATGCTGGAGGTGGATAATACAAGCAAACTGCATGTCTTCAGGGTGAAATCAGCATGAGTGAGACTAGATATGCTTTAAACCATCAAGAAACTCATCCTGAGTTTGAATTTTCTTTAGCACAGTGGAGAGGCTAAAATACAGCTGGCAGCAGAGGTGGAAAGCACAATCCATGGCTTTACATGCTGTCCACTTCTCAGTGTAGATGTAGCCTGCACACAGGAACAGTCCACCTCCCATGCATCATTTGGCCAGCGACAGAAGTAATTGGTGTCAGAACTATGCCTCGTGCAATGTAATTTCCTTGGTGTGCTGGAATACTTTGCTCAGCATGGCACCCAAGGAGGCAGAGGTCCTGCTCTGTCAGTTACCCACCTTACCCCATCCAGTGCCAACAATTAACACATACAGATGGCAATCTGACAGATGCTACTCTTTTTTTTAATTGCTTGCTGCTCTGTTTTCATCATACCAAGCTTTATCAGGTGGACTACAAGTTCAAGAGTTGCTGGATACCCACATCAGGATTTTTTTTTCAGTAGCCACATTCACTGTCAGCCAGAAGCACACAGGAATCTCATAGCTACTGAAACTATAAATCCAGATTGGTAGAAGATGGGTACAGGATCATTTTCCCCCACTGTAGTATATGCAGTGCAAACAGTATTCCATTTATGTAAGGTTTTGCCTAAACTGGAATTAATTAGGACCGCAGCACATATTTAAGTACTTTCAGAATATAAAATACCTACAAGACTTTGAAGAAGTCTGTTTTAATTGGTAAGATTTATTATAAAGATAAAGGTCTTAAGGTAATACCCATTCAAAATAGATTCTGCCAAAACAGACATTCTATTTCCTGAAATTTACTTTTTCATTACAAATAAAATTATAGAGAAAAGTAAAAAAGATCATCTTAGATTTCTCCACTGCACTATTTATATACTCTAATCTGCCAATCTAACATTTTGTTAATAAGTATAGCCAATGTAATTTTGATAATTTTACCTTGTTTAGTTATTGTGCTATTTTGCCTTTTAAAATGCCATTTATGTTTTTCTAGCTATATTACAGGAGGGAGACCTGGATTAAAAGTGTATTGGGTTTTTTTCTGTTTTGGCCTTAGTAATAGCACAAAAACCCCCCGCAACTTCACGCCTGCAATGTTTCTTTCACGCCTACGTGGTTGTCTCCATGAGCTAAGTAACCACATAGAAGACATGTTTAGTTGTTTTGGAATAATTATTCAGTTCTGCTAATAAGAAGCTTGAGAAAGGTTAAAGTTTGTCAATTATTTTCTCTCCAGGGGAAAAAATGACCTTCTAAAAACAGGAGTCCATGGATACTACATTTTCTAAGTATAGGTCATTGAATTTACTTTACAAAATCCTTGTATAAAACAAGGGGATATCCTTAACTCTGATTAGTCTTCTTTTTTAACAGTGAGATTAGTTTATACCCTCAATTTCGGAAGCCCTGATGCTGAAATGACCACAGCAAGGGGCTATTTTGATGGACAGCAGTTGATTACAGCACAATTTGAAAGAAGAGGGCATCAGTCTATCTGATTGCAGAAGGTATCATTCAGAAGTTATTATTGTATCAGACTGGAAGAGGGAGCTGGTATCACCTAATTATCTGAATAAATGATATTCTGCCTGTGCAAAAAGCCATTTCTGACTCATGACTTTCTCAATGATGGCCAAATCCTTAGTTTTCCTCTAGATTTTTGTGGGTTTAATTTTTTTTAATTTCTTCATAACATCCTTTATCATTAATGTATAAATCTGTAATATCATCTCTTATTTGTCTCTTTTTAAAACCAAATAATCCTCTGAAGTGTATGAGGAGCTCAAACTGTCTCTTCCAATGTGCATTAATGTGCACTTGCTTACACAGTATTTCATCTGCTAGCGTCCTCTCCAGCTTCCTGGTATTGTAAGGTCCTCATTTTCTCATTAATTTTCTGTCACCTACATTTTATGTTAAAACCATCATCAACCTTCTACTTTTTTGCAGCCTGTAAATAAATCATTAAATATGAGTACCATAGCATCGAGCATAGTTAACTCTTTTCTCTCTCTTGGAAAAATCTCTAATACATGCCAGAATTTGGCCCTTTAGTCTATGCTTCATTACCTTAAAAGCCTCTTCTGAACACTGTGTCATTGTTGAAGATCTTTATGCTATATGCATAATGATATTGAAAATGTTATTACAAACATCAATTAAACAAAAATATTTCAACTAACCAAAATTTCTTATTTATAGCAGGGTACTGGTACTTCAACTGCCACGGATATAGGATTGCCAAAATGGTCTACGAATAACTGCCTGCTCAAGCAGTGCTGGGGTTCCTCTTTGCTTCATCTTGAAAAACAACCAAGGGAAGAAAAAGTTGATACTAAATACTTCTCTGATATTAGCCAGCCACCTAAATAATTTCCAGACACTCTACCCTGATGCTGCATCATCCTGGACTGTACTCAGTCCATAGAGTTGCTAATGCAAAGGCAGACTGCCTGTACGATCAGCTATTCAGTCTGCAGTGTAAAAGACTTGATATTAATTGGAATAGGTTTCTCAAGTAAATTGCTAAACTGAGCACAGGAAACTATATTACTCTCTTCCTGAGATGTCTTCTGGGCTTGATTTTCAAATATATTTTAATTTGGAAGGGGATAAAGTACTGATTCTATCAGTGGAGATGCAGTCAGGACTATTAGGTTCAATCTCTAATTCTAGAAATGTGGGATACTTCCTTTCAGTTTGCTTTAACGGATATAGTGTGTAATGCAGTGAAGATATCAAAACTAAGAGAAGAACAAGAGTACTTTGATTTATATGTCTTCATTTTAGGCAAACCCCATCTATTTTCTTGATTTATTGCTACGAATAGAAGACACATTCACTCTTACATTTTGTGAGTATGCTGGATATATACATCACGACATATTTATTTTTATTGAAATTTGCAAAAGCAAATGCCTTCATGGTTTTCTGCATATTTCAGCTGAGTATTCTCTCTGGCCTCAATTTAATAAAACTATAAATATGAAAATATTCTTGCTGAAGCTGTTACCATCCCTTGTCTGTATGTTTTATTGCAGCAGGTTCTAGATGAAAGGGAAGAAACTCTGGTTATCTATACATCCATTTGATTTTTCCCTACAACATACATGTCTTTGAAGTGAAAAGCTGATCAATACATTAAAAAGTGCATTATTTTTATTACATATATCTAAAAATATCTAGTAATCTTAAGCAGCATTCCACTTTTACACACACATCATCTATGTGTGTGCTTTAAGGAGCTGTGCCACTGCAACTATTATTTGTTTAAAATCCAACCCAGACCCCTCAGCTAATCATTCCTCAGAATGATTAAAAATATTGAAAGAATAGAAAGTAAAAAGTCCATCTACTCATTATTTTTATCTTCCCAAGTATTAGAGATGTCACTTAACATTTAAAATACACAAAAAAGAGAGAACAGTTTACTACCAGCCATAATAATTTTGTGTTGAGTCTGCTTAAACAGAAAAAAACCCCTTAAAATTATATTAAATCCCTATGTTAGAAATTGGAAAGTTAACTGCCTTACTCTGTTGCTTTCCTATGGTTGACAAAGTACGGCTCAAATGGAAGCATTCAGATAGTGTGGTATTTGGATTATTATCTCCTGCCCTTTCTAGACTCGGTTTGATATCAAGGTGTTTTAAAGCTGGGTGAGCACACACGGAGCTCTCTTTGGAGCTTATGTTGTTTAATAAAAAGACTGTTTGATACAATTGTTCGTAGGGGATCTTATTTGAAGAATCTGTAGATAACAAAAAAGCTATTTCATAAAAAAGATAACCCTTATTACTGAAAAAAAATTCTATTAAATGAAAAATGGTCCATTCCAACAGTTTTATGTTTGCTGCTTCTTGCTAAACTAAAGGGATTGTTGGGGAAATATTATAGTTACCAATGTAGGAAGCAAAACTGCAGTAAGTAGCAGCTTGGAAAAAGTGATTGATATATTCAATACCATGAAGGAGAGAAGTCAAAATGTCGTGATGAACTGGTCATAATCTGTATAGTTTCATTGCTGCTTCGGTAAACAAACTAGTTTTTCCAGATAGTTCATTTACTAGCTTTTGAGGGAATAAAGAATTAATTTACTTATAGCTGCAATACCAAAAAAGTCATTACGTGGTCTGATAATTTCTGTTCCAAGGTCCACATTTTTGTATTTGTGTACTCATCGCCAGAATGCAGATTTGCTAGTAATCTGTAACATTATCTTATGTTAAAGTTATACCTTTAGCATCACGTTAGCACCTGGCACTTCACCCTTAAGGATGTCTCTAACAGAGGAGGTGTGGGAGAATGATGTTCAGGGTAAAATCCAAAGAGTACTCCTTCAATGAACTTTGGAATTGGTCCCTGTTGTAACTCCACACTTCCAATCACTGAGCATAATTTTTGGCAGTGACAAGTGCTCAGTGATCAGAAAGGGATGCAGACCACGCCTGAAGGGGAATGGTGTGTTCGGAGTCAGCAGTAACGCCATTGTCAAAATGTTTATCTTTTATGTGTCTGTGCTATCAAAACCACAGAAAAAAATCTGCAGAAAGACTGAGACCTACCACAGATAATGAATGCAAAAGGTGATCAAAGTTTCTCTTGAATCTCTGAGCTTTTGGGTCACCTTCTGAACAGAAAAATTCTCTTTTGGTAAGAGAACTATTAACATGTTTCCTCTGTCCTTTATGTTACTCTCTCTCTTCTTATTGCATTCCTTTGATAAAATTTATTTCTACTGCATGTTATTACCTATGTGTTTCTCCAGATTCCTCATTTACCTTGAGTGTGTATGCTCATGTTTAAATTAGTAGGAATATCACTATTGATTAGAAATGTTACTATTGATATCTATGACTGCTGAAATAGACCACATCATTATAATAATTTTTCAGAAGTACAGTAAACAGAAAAAACATTTTCATTATACAAAATTTAAGAAAATGAGTTTAAGAAAAGCACGACTGATAGTCATCCTACTTCTGAAATTTTTAAGACTGAATATGCTCATAAGACTCTCAAGGTGCATGTAGGTATGTGCCAGTCAGTTTACACTGACCCTTAAAGGCATACTTAATTAAGTTTACATGTGATTTGTGAGGATAGCTAGGCTACGGTCAGAATTCAGGTCAGGCTTTTGGGGTGGACATAAAAATATTTGCTGTCACAGCATATGATTTTAATAAAAAGAAATTAATTCTAAAATGAAAATGTTTTTGCATTCTCTGTATCATGGCATGGAAGCATACAGTCAGATCAGTAAATTTTCATGGTAAATGTTGCTGATTAGTTTGTAGTTTTCACCTTTCTCTTCTCAGTTAATGAGGTGCACATATGGTTGACAAAACTCTCTGTTTCCCTTCTGTCAATATGTGCAAAACAGTAATTTTAAGAAATGGATTTGTGGCCTTTGAAAAGTGCATGGATCATATTTTGCTTGGTTTGCTGCCTTTTTTTTTTTTTTTTTTTTTTAAACTGCTGTATTCTATGCATCACAAAAAACCCCCAATTCTCTACTTGTCAGTTCACTTTTCATCAAAAAATATGTTATAACTTTAGCCCTTCTTAAATTAAATAAAATTCTTTGGCAGGAGGCAGAACTGGGTCAGGCATTCAGAACATAGCGTATGTTTTATACACCTTTGGGCAATTTTTGGATGCATATCTTGAACATTTTTTTAACCTATGGTACAGACAGGGTGAGGACATTTGTCATATCTCGCAAGGTTAACCCCATACAATATTTTTTTCTTTATTTTTGTAGTCCATATTCTTGATAAAATAGACAACAGCCAAATCTTTTTGTTAACTGGTATAGTTTACACAACTAATCTGTTTTACGCTGAGTAAACATCTGATCTAAAGATTTTGAACAGAGAAAATTTATATTAATGCTTTAATACCAACACAACACTTAAATGCATTGTAAGCAGTTTTTACAAAGCAAGCAGCAAATCAAAGGAGCATTTCTTAAATAAAAACATTTGAACAAATCCTTCATACATGATATATTTATTTCATTATTTGTAAAGATAGTATCAAATATGGTATAATTGCAAAATACTAGCTGAATTGTTCAACTTGTTCTGTCAATGAAAGCTATTATTCTACATTATACTACTAAGGAAGATTTAATTTTAGTTTAGCTTTAAAAGATGGGTTGAAACTACTAAACAGCCTATTAACTGACAAACAAAAAATATATTAGGAAATACAGATTATTGTAGTAAGGTCAAAACTTAAGATTTAAGATTTCTTATTCTTAATATTTCTTATTGAGCTTACCTCTTCAGAGCCCGAGCCAAAAATCAGCAGGTCAAAAGGTATTGCAGCAACCATGTCAATTAGGAACCAGCCTTTGAAGTAGTGAATTGCTATTTTTGCTGGATCACTTACCACTTCTTCATTCTGGTTTACATATGTTGTTCTGAAGTTTATTAGAATGTCAATGATAAACATAATATCCACAATTAAGTCTACAACATTCAGTGGGCTGCAAGAATATCCACACTCTCTCCTCTTCCGTTCCTCACTATCATTCAGAAGGAAGGCAGCAGAGTAAGGGGTGAATATGGCAGTGTATATTACCAGCAACAAAATGAGCCAGTCCCAGACAGCTTTGAAAGGACTATAGTGCAATATAGTAAACTTGTTGATGCGAGGTGTCTGGAGTTTATATTCTGGTAGAACATCAGCCCCTAAGGATAGAACCTAGAATAAGAAAGATACTGTGTCAATAATCAGGCAGTGTATCTATTCCTACTTTCAGTAAACTTGGCAAATACAAGACAAACTTAAAAAGTACTGTATTGTAGTGTTGAGGATTAAGCTTCAATTACTTGGTGTTTTGGCAAACTAAACTTCTGTGAAATTCATAATCTCCGCCAGGTCCAATAAATTCATTGACAATTTTACACAGTAGGTTGATTCTTGTTCCCTGTAGCAACCATTAAGTGGCATATCTGGTCCATAAAATCTGCATAATTAAACATGTCATCAAATTAATTTATCCACCACATGGTAACCTTGCCAATCAGTTCCTGGCCAGTGAATGACTTTTCTTAGAGTGATGTAGTGTTTTTCTCCCAAAGCATATTATCATGGGCTTAAATTCACTACAAAAGAGTCTACACTCATTAGAAAACATTTAGGCAACCAGAAATAAATAAGTTAGAGAAAGATCTGTGAGTGCCCTTGACAACTATCTCCACTTTGAGTTTTGTGGTGTGGAAAACTTTCATGCATGGACAAATTTCACTGAGGCTATGGTTCTAGTACAGCTAAGGGTGTGACAGAGAAGGGTACCACAGGGGTATTGCCTTTTGCTTCACTTCTACTTTTGTCGATGCCTAAAGCTTATTATCATTCCTTTACAAGCGTGGATTTTTTATCTGTTGGTGTCATCTAAGTTGGATTTCAATTTTATTTGGAAGGGATTATGTTTGTCTGCTCTGCTTGATTTGCTGGCTCTAGAAGCTGAAATGTTTGCTTTGTTGCAAAGAACAAACATAGTGTGGGCACCAGATAAAACAAATTTCCTTTGGCTGCTCCTCCAGTCTGATTGAACTCTGACATGAAGGAAGAAAACCTTTAAGGATAAGAAGATAAATTACATTTTCGTCTGTATTCAATGCTTGGCATAGTTATAGAGACTGTCAGCAATTATGTTAATTATTGCCTTATGTGCTGCAAGTGCTCTCCAAATCCTGTGGGACTCAGATCACCACTTCATTTTACACAGACCAATGAGCAAACATCAGATGGTGACAACCTTCAGTTTCTACCTGTTTGGGCAAGTGACATATTCAAGAAATCTTATACCCATTTTCCACCAGTTACTTCTACTTATTACTTATCCCCTGCTAATTAAAAACAATACTGTTCAGAAAATCAGACCTTTCAAAAGTAAATAAAATGAATAATTATACTGAAATGAAATGACGACTGCAAGGAGAAATACCTTGTCAGCAACATTGTCTGCTTTTATTTGCTTTTTGTTTAGCAGAACCAGTTTGGGATTTGAGATTTCAGCTTATTCAAGACTGAGGAATTTCACGCTCCTCAAACATAGTCTTAGAAGATTATAAGGGTCAGCACACTCCTTTCTGTTTAACTTTCCAACAGCAAGTGTTGTATAAACCTTGGATGCTATCCTTAGTAATGTAAGTGGCACTTCTTATCCTGTGAAGTTCTACTCTGAAAATGTTGTGAGAACACCAGGGTTAATAACCACTCTTCTTTGAACTGTGAAGAAAGAAACGATTAAGCCATCCAAAAGATTATATGGTACCTTCAAACAGCCATTAAGCACCATGCTGAGGTGATGGTGGAGGCGCTTCATCTATTTTTTATATTGTAACTACGACTTGCATTTAACTAATGCTACTAGCTATTTTTTATGCATTAATCACACTAGCTGACAGCAAGTTGAAGCATAGGCATTGCTTAGTCTCTTAAGCAGTCTTAATATGTTCAGACCCCCACCTGGTGTGTTCACAGGAATGTTTCCCTAGTATTTGAGAGCAGTGTGAGTATACATGGCAAGGGAGCTGTTATTTATAAAATTTGGATCAGTGTTCTCCTGCTGGATTGTCACACAATGAAGGAAATGGATTAGACAAGAAGAACAATAAAGCTTACTTCACGTTTCTTGCAGTTGCTTGAAAATTCCAGCCAGTGTGCTTCATTTCCAAGCAACACATAATGTAAATTGGACTTATTCCCCTGAAATCTGGCTCCTATTCTCATTTTAGTTACACTTATTCCTAGATCGGTTTTGACTGAGTTAGCTGAAACTGAAGAGTACAAAACTCAAAACCCCAATAGGGCAAAATGACAAAAGAGCAATACAAAAGTGATCATAGCAGAAATCGATCCAACTTTTTCATGCTAGTTTCTTAGACACACACAACAGGAGAGGCTGACTGATGGTTGTGAGTTTCATATTCATAATGTGATATAGAACTTTACATTTCTGCATTACTTACTCCTGTCTAATGGGAAGTGAAAACAAACATTATGTAACTTTTTGTTTGTGGGATCAAGAGAAAGAAAATGGGAGTTTGTTTCTCAAATAAAAAAATCACAGTTGCAAATACATAAAAAGGAGAAAACATTATTGGGTTTCATGTTGGCAGTTTCAATAGATACTGATTGAATATGAGGTGAATTTATTCTTTTGCTGTTGTGTGACACCCTTGCAAGGCTTGGGTACTGGTGTTGGCCAATCTTGGGCATCTTAAGTAGATGGAACACTTCAGTGTACTTAGTAATCCACTCAAAATACCTTTACTATTTCCACTTGCTTAAAATAGATGTTGACAAATTCACTGTTAGTGAAAAGACATTTTATTAACTTTTCTCTTCTGGACAGTGAAACTGTCCTTATAGTTTGGATTGTAAAACAGCTGCTTAGGGAATGAAATGTTTTTAAGAGTAAGGAGCAGCACTGGGACAAGGCTAAAGTATTGCAGTGTTAAAACCTTGGAATATGACATGATGAGAAAGCCAAGCTTCCTCACGTCTTACTAAAGAGAATACTATAATGCTAAGTAGCAAAAGTCATGCTAGCTGCAATGGGTTTTCTCTTTAAAAAATTTTAGAGGTATTCAACCTTGATTTTCTCGGTGATCGTAGGCAAGCTGACATTTAACCTCTCTGACTTCTGTCAGAGAGAATAATATTTACCTACTAAACTGAAAGCATCTTGCAAAGCATAATGAGTGGAAAGCATTCATAGAAGCTGTTACACAATAGCAATGAGTTAGCATCATTCTTACTCCTCTAAATTTAGTTGATTCTTTTTATTTTTAAGATTCACATAAATATTTGTGCTCTTCTTTTAATTTTGAATTTATAACTTAATGGAGACACCAGTTTATTTTTATTTCCTGCATGAAAACATTTTATTTTTGTTATCTATTATGCAAACCATACAGTTTCAAGAGACTCTGAGACCCATATTGCTGTGTATCACATGTATATTCATAAGTTTTGTTCTGAGGTATTTTCAATCTAAATTTATTAAAGAATGCAAATGCATACAGTAAAACCCAAAGAACTAGAAACAAAGTAAAGAAGCATAGTAGTGTACTAATAAATCATAACAGAAATAATAAATGATAAGCCATCTGTTATGTAAACCACCATGAATTGTTAAAGGAATACTTCTGTCAGCCCACTGCATGGATTTACCTTATGGTTTCCTAGCTATTCTAGCACTGCATGAGGGGAAGTGTGGGGTAGCCTTATTATATGCTGGACCATGGCTCTTCAAGCAATTAAGTGCATGAACATGGAGAACAACCAGCAAGCATGCCTGATGCCTTCAAGAAGCACTGAACTCATTCTGTGAGCATATTGTGATTGCATGGACCAGATGCTATAAGTGACTTATTCAGAAAGCATTGGACTTTTTGCACTTTCGCTAGGAACTCACAATAATTTTGTACTGTATATTTCCCAACAGACAGCAGATTAACGTACACTTGCACAAACTATATGTAGCATCTTCACAATCTAGGTAAAATCTTTCATCATGGACAGAACTACTGCACATCCAGAAGATTTGAACAAAGAGCAATGCTTAGAGGTGAAAAAATAGATATATGGGGTGGGAGAAAACCCAACAGTTGTAAGGTAGATAGATACAGAGTATATCTATGCAAAAGGTAGATGTGGAAGCTTGATGGGTGCAGTTTAATACATTATCTTTTCAGAAAGATGCTTTCCTATGCCTCATGACAAAGTATGTCTCATATGAACTGTATATGTAAATGATGTAGTTATATTCAGTACTAAATTCTGTTTTGTCACTGCTGCTTTTGCCACAGATGAATTAAAGTAAAGCTTGTACTAACAAGGTTAGCTCTTGCATAGCATCTTTCATGTTAAGAGAATTTCATAAACATTTCACAAAGCTCAAACTATACATATAGTCCCAAATTACTTGGGGACTTCTTTAAAATAAACAATTATCTCACCCATAAAACATCTTGCATAAAACGATGGAAGATGGTACCAGTCCACTCAATGTTAAAATGATTTATTTCTAGGAAATACTATATGACATGAAAAAATATTATTCTGCCAATATCTTGCTGGGCTCAGTCCAATGCTAGGTGCACAGCCCTGACAGATGAATGGATGATTACTCCTGCATCTTTAAGTCAGGGCAATTGTAGAAAATCTAGCGACATGTCAGCTCCTTGTATGCTGAGACACTCGAATATTATGAGTAAAGATTGAAGAAACTTTGAAGTTTATCATTGTATAAAGTGTATTCAGCAGCTGAGTCATGAAATTTACATGGAAATGTAAACAATATGATAATGGAACCAAGATAATTCTAATATAGACAATATTGTAGTCAAAAATAAGGGAAAGAATTTGGAAGAACTTTTGACTTTTCAGATCTAATCCAAATACATTTCCAAGTTGCATCAGAAAGCCAAAATCATCCATACTCATTATCTGACTGTAACACTGGAAAAGACTACATTAATGAAATGTAAAGCATGTTCTGTTTTCTCAAAGAACACAGGCAAGAAGTGACATAAGAACATTCATACCCTTTTCATTTTTATAGGAGGTTTCCATAGATTATTAGGCTAGGCTAATCTCAATGACCTCTAAGTAATTTCACAAAAAATGAAAAGCTATTTGGACTATTTTTTTTTTCCAGCAGCATTTTCAACTCTGTATAAGTTTAT